CTAAGCTTGTTTAAGGCTTTTCTTATTGCTGTTTCTTTTCTTTAGTGCTGATTGTAACCTTTCTTATTGCTGTTTATGCAGAAAATCTATTTTCTTTTCCACCAATTTTGTGTCCAAGTGATCGTCAGGGAGAGTTGTGAAAATCTGCGTTTTGAAAAATAGTTTTTAATAATGATGATACAAGAAATTTTTTAAATAGAAAATTAAATTTTACAGAGATGATTTTTATTAATATGATAATTGTTTATTCATCAATATTTTTATTTTTTATAATATGTTATAATTTTGATTATAACTTTACATGTATGTCTATGAGTTATAATTAAATAAATTCATATTATGTTTAAAACTATTGTAAAATATATTTGGTTGTTAAAGAATCAATATAATCAACAAGTTGTTTCTTGTTTATACATTTTTGAACTTCAGTTTTAATAGTCGTAAAAACATTTAAATTTTTAAAAACTGATTGTAAGTAAGCATTATTTTCATCTGTAAGAGTTTTTGTCACTTCATCAATAATTTCACAAACTCTGTTAATTTCAGCTTCTAATAATAAATCTTGTTCAGATATTACAAAATATCTAACAATATCATTACCATAAATATAATTATTAATATTACGTTGAATTAAAATAATCAATGATTTCATTTGAATATCCATTTTTTTTTAAGTCATGTTTATTTTCTAGCGAATGTATATATATATATTAAATTAAATTTGATATACACCAATTAAATTATATTTCTTTATCAATTCTAAATTAGGAATTTAATTTAAATTTATTAAATAGTTTTTCCGAAATAAATATTTAAACATTCTTAATTTGATTAGTAATATTAAAAAAAAAAATGAAATTGATTCAATCGAATTGCACATCTGCTTGTAAATTTTGTCAAATAAAAAAGACCTTGTACACAATGTCATAAACATAATTTAGTCTGTGAAGTCTCAGAAAAAATAAAAAAACGAGGTCCATTATCAAAAAAATAGTGATAAATTAAAATTAAAATATATTTTAATTTAAATAAATTAAATTTTATAACCATTTCGATTTTCAGTTTTCTTATCATGTTCTAATTTAAAATCTATTGATAATTGTTTTGCTTGTTCACTAGTTCTATTTTTTGTAGAAAATGATTTTGTTTTATGTTTATTATTTTCTTCCCATTGAAAACACCAAGTATATTTTTTTTTATTAAAATAAATTCCATTATATCCTGATATATTTGTTTTTTTTAATTTACAATTTAATTGATTTTTTTTTGGAGTTGTTTCTCTTAAGTTATATTTATGATTATCTGTTCCAATTTTGTTAATATGATCAATCATCTTGTAATTTGAATAAACCATTTGATGAAATTTTAGTTTTTTATATTTATTATTTTCTTTAATACTTGTTTCAATATAATATGTATTTCCATGTTTATGTGAATACCATATATAATTTTTAATTAAATTGAAACTATCAAGATCTGTTAAGAATGTAATATCTGTAGTTTGAGTCGATACTTCATTGAAGAGTGTTGCATTAATTTCAATTAATCGATAAGAATTCGATTTTCTTTGTGGTTTAATGATTGGTAATTTGTTTCAAGCTGACAGAATTTCAAATGAATCGAATATTTTCTTCCAAGGCGATTTTTCAGTTTCTTCTTCTAACGAATACATTTTTAAACTTCTAATTAAAGAACATTTGTTAAATTTATACATTTTTTAAATTCTCTGAGTCAAAATTAAAAAAAATTTTTTAATAATTAAATATAAATATCACAGTTTTATTTATTAAAAATTAAAAAAAAAAATGATCGAAATCATAGTCTTTTTGAAAGCCAAAGATCAAGTTACCTTAAATATTATAAAACATTGTCATTTATAATTAAGATTTATAAGATTCAAACTGAAAATTGTTTATTAGTTACATTTTATGATAATTTGTTAAATGAAATTTTAGTTCCTGAAGAAATTGAATTTAAAGAATTTAGTAATGAAATTTTATTTGTTAAACAAATATTTCCTGATACAAATTTATTTTTTATTACGTATCCTAAAAAATATAGTTTATATTATAGAAAAAAATTGATTTTATCTTTTATTCTTGATCAAAGTGATATTATTTAGATTTCAAAAACTGTTTATTTAAAATATTTAAATAATATAAAAATATTTATTTTTCTTAAATAAAATACATATAAGAATAAAACTATTCTACATTTTCATATTTAGATTTATAATTAATATATTTAGTATTTAAATCGATATATTTTTTGTTTGTTTTATCAACTTCTTTTTGAAGTTTTTCAATATTTTTTACTAGAGATAATCCTTTATTATATTTTTTGAAAGCTCGTTGACAATTTTCTTTTAAAGTTTCACATTCTTCACAGGATTTTTTATTAATTAAATCTTGACGAAACATGAATAGTAATGAGATGATATTATCAATTTTTGTTACATCTTTGATATTTTCTTCAGACATCTAAAAAAATGAATAGTTATAACTAATTGTTTACGTAAACATATATATAAAGAAAAAATAATAAACTTTATTATTAACAAAAACTTTAAAGGTCGTAAGCGCTATAATGGCAGATGAAATGAACCGGCCGTTCACAAAATTTCACCTGTTACTTCCAATATATTGAACCTCAGTTATTCAAAAGAGAGGAAGCAAAAAAGTTTTTGTTCCAACTAGTATGGGTAATCACTTAATTTTTTTTTTAAAAAAAAATAAAAAATACTAACTTTTTTTTAAAAAATGTTTCATGTGTGGTAGAAAAGTGTACGTGATGTTTTCTGTAAACAAAAAAATGATCAACATTTAAAAATAAATAATAAATCATATGATATAAATCATATGATTTAATCTTATCAAAAATTATGTAATTTAGAATGTTCTAAAAATGCCAAGAATTTTATCAAATACAAATCATATGATTTAAATTTTATCAAAATTATGTAATTCAGAATATTCTAAAATGCCAAGAATTTTATCAAATACAAAATCATATGATTAAACCTTATCAGAAATTATATAATTTAGAATGTTCTAATTTGCCAAGAATTTTAAAATAATTTTTATTAAATAAATAATCATATGATTTATTTTATCGAAAATTATATAATTAAGAATTTATAATATACTTAATATATGTATTATATAATTTCGAATATTTTGATTTTCTAATAAACATTAAATTTAATTGGTTATTGAATATAAATAAATAATTATATAATTAATTATCAAAAAGCATAAAAATACGTATATGTTAATTTTAAAATTATATATTTATTAATTTCTTTATAAATCTTTGAATAATAACAAATGAGTTCTTTAGTTTTATCTCAATGCACTTTTTTAATAATGTCAAGGTAAAATATTATTATTTTTTTTTAATTATTATATTAAATATTATACTTATTTATTTTAGTTTTAGACAACAAATAAGTGATTTTCTTAATGAATGGTATGAAGAACGAATGAGAAGTACAGAAAGAAATCAAGAAAGAAATGATAATAGTAATGTTTTTTCATATATTGAACATAGGCAAGAAATAATAAGAATCCAAACTCATCATGCTAAGCAAATTGAATATAAGGATGAAATTATATTTCATTTACTTCAAGAACAAAAAGAAGAACGAAAAAATAAAGATGAAAAAGAAGAAAGACAAAAAGAAAAAGAACGAATTTTTTTAATGAAAATTTTATGTTTTTTTATGATATTTCTAACAAATATATTTTTATTTATTATCTTGATGTTTTTTATTTATAATCAACAAGTATATAGCTCTATTGCATCTTCTATTATTATTGCGATTATAAATTATTATTGTGAATTTCCTTTTAATTTTATAAATATTTAATGAATTATAAGTTTTTCGTTAAGTTTATTTAATATATTAAATTATAATTTTATTATATTTATTATATAACTAAAAAAAAATAAAATATAAAAAAAAAATAATTATTTTTATCATCTCATTGAAATTCATAATTTCGAATATTCTGATATTCTAATAAACATGATTTAAATAATTAATTTAAAAATTGTTCTCCGACTTTATGCACTGGTTCATATCTTGGAGTTAATTGTCTTCCATATAAACGTTGTAAATAAATTCCATATTTATATCGATTTGTAATTTTACCATTCCTATTTAAGATTGGTATATATTTTTCTTGTTTTGGATCTCATGTAACAAGATTATCTAGAACCATTCCTGGTCGTACATATGGCACTGGATCTTTATCTTTAACTGTTTTTGATTTTCGTTTTGATTCTTGTTTAGATTTTCCTGTTCTTTGTTTATTTTTTGTATTTTTTTTAGTAGTTGGATTTTTATGGCGAATAGATTGTTTTGTACGTGCAGAATCAGATGATGAAAAAAATAATGCAAACAAAAAAAGAACAAAGAAAATAGTATCTTGCATATTTATTGGTTTAAACTTAATTTTATTTATATTTATAAAAAAATAAAATTCGTTACAAACTTTATTTATAGTTTTACAAAAATTTAAAAACAATTGAAAAGATAAGAGATAAAATGATTACTATCAGTGATTCCTATTTTGTAAGAATCTAAATCTAAAGGAATGTCTTCATATTGTTCAATGTATGCATCATTATAAATCAAAATTTTTTCAATGTTATCATTGTAAATATTTGTTCGTTCAATAAAGTTTTCAATGATAGTTTCATTGATTACATCATTATAACTGATGATTACTTTTTTTTCATTGATTGTAAATAATATAAGCTTATTATTATCAAAATATTCACAATATCTTAAGGCATATGTTTGCATAGTAAAGAAGAAAAAAAGAACATAGATAAAAGATTTCATGATGTGTTTAGTATAGATTATTTTAGATTTGCTTATATAATTTTGTTATCAAAATATAAATATTTGTGTTGTACGTCTTATTTTTTCTTTAATTTTTTTTTAAAAATGAACAAGTAAGAATGGGTTCTTATATATTTATTTTTTTTTATATTGTTTATTTATATTTATTTATTTTTTAGTGAATAGGGAACTCCTCAAAAAAATGCAACATATTATCCAGAAGTAAAAAACACAATATCTGTGTATTGTAAAGCTTGTTGCTTCACAAAACATTATTTTTGGTCATGTAAATTTAATCGTTGTTCTTGGTGTAATAGTATACATGAAGGTTCATGTACAAAAATTAAATATTGCTATTTATGTCGAAAATATAATCATAATATAGATTCTTGTTTTTTTAATAAGATTCAATAAAAAATTAATTAATATAAAGTTATATATTTATTTATTTATTTATTTATGTAATACATATTAATAATAAATGAAAAATTAATAATAAAACATCGTGATTATTTTTTGATTATCTTAATATAGTAATTTTAATTCTTATCATAAAACCAATCAAATCTTATATGTTTATCCTTATATGAAAAATAACTTTAAAAAGAGTCATAATTTTCCTTATGTATAATATCATTAACAAAACGATCATATTATTTCTAAATTTAAAAAAACAAATTAAAATGTCTGAATTTAATTTTAATCAACATTGTCAACAATTTATCGAAAATATTAATGAAACTCATAGTGTTTTTAATAATTCTTTAGCTCTTATTCAACATTATAAAGCAGTGATATCTTCTTATGAAACACATAATCGTTATTTAGTAAATCTATATAATAGAGCTTATAAATATTTTGGCATATCTTGGGAAGTTTTTGTTGAAAATAACGAAGATTATGATTATTTTGAAAGAGAAGTAATCAATCAGAATCCAGAAGAAGGTGAAGAATTAGTTGAAATTGAGGAAAAAATTGAAGAAAATGTTGAGAAAAACTTAAATTTCGATGGACAAAATATCATTTCAATAAGTGATGATGACGATAGTGCATGTAGTTGTATTGAGTATGGAGGTAGTTGTGAGGATTGTTTCATTAAAAAGTTTAAATCTGAATATGATTCAAATAATTTTGATTATGATAATAATAATAAAGCTTATCATAACATGTTTAATGATGATGAAAGGGAACATAATGAAAATTATCGTACTGCCAATTCGAATAATTTTTATTATGAAAGTGATGATGATGGGTATGAAGAGTTTTTACAAAAGAGAGAATATAATAGTTACGATAGTTATTTAGAAGATAAAAACATCCAGAATTTTGAATATTACATGTCACAACGTTCTCAACTTAAATAATTTATATATGTTATTTTTTTTAACTTTTTATAAATAAATTTATATTTTATTAGTTTATATTTATAATAAATAAATGTTTTAATTGACAAATGAATATTTTTCATTGAGAAAAACTTTATTTTTTTTTTAGTTGTAAAAGTATAAATATAGATCGAATAAATCTAAATTAATCTTTATTTATAATTTTATCATTATAAGTTTAAACAATTGGTTCTTTGATTCCTTGTGTGTTAAACAGATAAAGTCTGTTTAACATTCAAGAAAGCAAATATGCCAATTGTTTAAATGAGTGTTTTATTTTTCTTGGCTGAAAGACAATCTGATATTGTTCGTTCATTGTACAAAATTTTTTATCGAATGATATGTACATAAACTTTAATTTTATAGTTTTATGAGTTCTATAAAAATCCTAACAAAATGATTTGATGTTCCTTACGATTTATTCATTTCAAAGCAAAATTCAAACATATAACCAAAACTTTAAACAAAACTTTTAAACTCAAACAAAATGATTCATCAAACTTTCTACACTTCTCTTGTCTTCATATGCATCTTTGGGTTATTTTTAACTCATCTCTTTTATGATGAATATCGTGATTGTATTTACCAATACATTATTAAAATTATCTATTCCAAAATATTCTTTTGGATTGCTGTAGTTACTATTAATATAGTAACTACTTTAATTATTATTGCTCTATATCAATTTTGGTTCTGGAATTATTTACTCGAACAATTTCCAGAACGATTTATTTCATGATTGCTAATTATTTTAGGAATTATAAAATTATTGTCAAGAAGTTTTTCTCGGCAATATGTATTGATTTTATTCAATACTTTAGAACATGGTGAAATTTTAATTTCTTGTTACATAATCTTCTTCAACTGACAAGTCAATAAGTATTAAGTTATCAATATACAGAAGAATTTACAAATCTTTTAAACTGGTCAAAAGACCTCTTGAATGTCTTTTTTTAAATTTTATTTATAGTTTAATTTAATTATTTTACCTTCGTTTGGAATTTAACACTTAGAATATTTTATTATTCTATTTAATTATTCATTTAGGATTAATTCCTTTGAATTGAATAGGACGATTCATAAAGTTGGATATTGTTATAATTTAGGTTAAATTTTATTTATAAGTATTTATATACATTAATTTAATATAATAGAAATTCTTTTGCATAAAAATATAAATCATCTAAATCAATTAAATAGAAATTTTTTTTAAAATTTTTGTTAAAAATATAATTAACTGTTTTATTAAAATCTTCTTCATATCTATAATATCTCCAATCTGATAATTCTTAATCAAATTTATTTCTAATATATTTTTTTCCTATTATATCAATATGAACCCAACTTCGAGTATGGGCTTCAAAATATGAAAACCATTCTTTTAACATTTCAAATATTTCTGGTTCTTCATTTCGTACTGCTTCTAAATAGTCTTCATATCTTGTATAAAATTTTAAATCTAATATTGAAAATTGTTCTTCATATTCGATGAATGGGAAAGAAGTTTTAGTAGAATCTTCAATTTTGTTTATCGACTCTGAAGAATGATTTGAGATTATTTCTTCATTTGGAAAATCAGGCCAATAATCATTTACAATATTATATTTTTTTGATTGCTTTGTAAAGATTTTTTTAATAATTTTTTTAATAAAAGACATTTTGTAAAATTTTATCGCAAAAATTATTTTTTGTTGATGTAAAAAACTTGTATAAATAAAGTTTTCTTATCAAAAATTAATATTACCAAATAAAGAAATTTATTGAATTTAAAATTT